ACATACAAAATTACTCAATGTTTCATTTTGGTCATTTAAACTAATTCAAATAATCAGACTAAACAAATTTTCGATGTTTGCACAAACCACAGTGACATGATTATTCAAGTTTAAAATTTTGGTAAAATGATTTACTGCATTTTTCACATGATTTTTTTTTACAGTTGTCTTGTCGTCAACAGGATAAATTGTTATCTGTAGTAGATTTATTGGATGAAATAAATAGTGATTTGCTTGATGTTGCTAATAAATCTGATGATGATGATGATGACTCGCATAGCCCTGATGGTGATAGCAATTTGAATCAACAGCATTATTTGCAAGACATAGAAAATACATCAAGTGAATCAAGTTCAAACGAGTCAGGTGATGATGATGACATAGATAATATTCCAATTGCATCTCGTATAGTTAGGGAAAAGCCATGTGAAAACAAACAATTTACTGGCAAACCTGCGGAACCTACTGATTCAACTGAAATTATTGATACATCACTACATTATTTCAAGTGCTTCATCACAAATGAAATGCTTAAGCTGATAGTTGATCAAAAAAATCTTTACAGCATGCGAAAGAGAGGGAAGTCTGTTGCAACGTCATTCAAAGAAATAGGGCAAATCATTGGCATATTTTTCAGAATGGGTCTGGTTGAAACGCCTTCTATGAGAATGTATTGGGAGAAAAATACCAGCTATCCAGCTGTCGCTGATGTTACTTCTAGGAATAGATTTCTTATGCTTCTTGCAACAATACATTTTGTTGACAATGATTCAGTTTCTGAAGAAGAAAAAAAGATCGCCTCTAGAAAATCTGCCTATTTCTTCAATTGTTCCATAAGCAATGCCTTCAAGTGACTCCCCTGCCTGATCAATCTATTGATGAGTTGATGATCCCATATAAAGGGAAGTTCACCAAAATTCGTCAGTATGTCAGAGGAAAACCTCACCCGTGGGGATTCAAGGTATGGTGCAGGTGTGCTGTGGATGGAATGCTCCATGATTTTGATGTATACCAAGGAAAACGTGACACCAGTGAAAAAAAGAAATTAGGTTTAGGTGCAAGTACAGTCTTAAAACTGTGTGAGAAGCTTCCAAAACATGCTAATTATAATATCTTTGCTGATAATTTTTTTACTTCTTTGGACCTTATTGAAAAACTCTCAGAAAATGGATTCCTTTATGTTGGAACTGTTAGAGGAAATCGTTTGGGGGTTGTTGCTAAAGGGGATGGACGAGAGGTAGGTGACAGTGAGAGGTCTGGGTCTAGTTGCGTGTTTATTGCGTGTTCGTGGTAAGCGCAAGAACATCTTAACGAATGGAAATTTTGTAATTTTCGGATATATTTTCAAAGTCAAACTTCACAATTAACAAAGTCAAAGATTCATTAGGTTCAACTGCAAAAATGAGACCAAACAATGTTGAAATATTAGAAAGATCTATATGCTATATAATCGAACATCTACGCAAGTATTTATAGGGTAAAATGTGGGATTAATATTTTAACACGCAATTAAAGGTGCGTACCGTGCAATATGGGGTTTCAAATGCTTTTATTTTCTGCTTGCAGTTAGAAGTAAAACCTTTTTCAACTGTATCCACCTTTATAATGGTAAAACGATTTGCATCATAGTACGAAGTGGCACAGTGCTGAAACTAATTGTTTATTATATGTAAAGATTTACCATAACACCAGTCTTGTCTCCTCAATATATGGCTCCCACCCCCATCAGAATATTACTTAAGTTATTAAGGCCCTGTCTACACTAGTGCGTTTTCGTTTGAAAATGCATACATTTCGATGCGTTTAGGCCTTCCGTTCACACTAATACACTCGAATACGCTCAGCGTATTCACCGAAAAGTCAGTTTAAGACAGGATCACACGAATCGATCGATGCGTTTTCGGTCTTGCGAAACCCCATACAAACGAAAACGTACTAGTGTAGACAGGCCCTAAGTTCTTCCTTGGCATAAAAGACAAGTACTTTTGTAACATGTAATGGTTTTCTTTACAATAACACATTCTGTGTATGTATGGCAGTGTGCCAAATAATTTCATAGTTAAATAAATCCACACAAAATAAATAAGCCCCCAGCCTCTCAACTCCATGAAATGCATCCTGGGGACATTAAAGATTGAGGCATTAGAGTTATTAGTTACTATTGTTAGCCATTATTTCAGGCAGAAGACTGCTATTCCTATCTTTCCCCAGTAAGCGTTTTTTACTTTTCACTCAAAAATTGCTAATATGACTATGCTAATATGAACCTATGGACTATGATTATCATATATCTGTTGACTAATGTCACAAAAAATAGCATAACAATTGTTACTTTTGTTCCATGTTGACAACCTTGCCCCAAACTTTGATAACAAATTACATGATTTGTTACATTTGTGCTTCTTCACAATTTCTTGTAACAATACAACTTAAAGTTGCTACTGTAGAGCAATCAAAGGCAGTACACCTGATGTATATTTTTGTTTAACAAATAAAGTTAAACTTGCTCAAATTTGTTTGCATGCTGATCACTATTGTTACCAACAAAAATCTTCTAAATATTTGATACTGATGCTTCCACTTTTGGATATCCTTTTTCAATATAATTGATTGAGCAAAAGTTCTCAAAGATTAAAGATGATGTAAAGTCCGTTCTGAGCATATATTCTGCGCATAACAATGTTTGTTTACGTTGGTTATATAATCTTTACATGACATATGCGTCGTTATAATTTTATTATTTTCTTCTCGCTCGACGGGCTGTGATCTGTGATGAATATGCTTATTTTTTATTATATTTTGAAGAAAATATTGTTATATTTTGAAGAAAATATAAAGCGAAGCTTGTAAATAAACCGGCCGTTATTTAAAACGTTATATATTTGTAATTGTAGGACAAGCGAGAAGGTGGCGTCTGTAGCGACAACAAATAGCCTTGCCATTTCGGGCCTTATTCAACAAATAAATTCTTGGAGCATTCCTTTCAGCATAATATTGCTTTTTCTAGCAGCTTTATGATAAGATAAGTTATCGTCGTGACTCGCAATTCGAGCCTCTTCGCCTTGCGACATACAATAAAATAATTTTGCTCCCGAACTGCCGTTTGTAATACAAGGCGTTAATATCGCATATCATTAACATTCCAAAAGTTGCTCCCCCACTGATGGAATGTGTTGATGCGCAGAATTTATGCGCAGAACGGACTTTACCTCATCTTTAATTAACTTCTCAAGGGTCATGCAACAAAAGGTTAAGGGCAGCTTTGGTCTCGCACTCAGGAATCATTTCATGGATCTATAAATAGAAAAATTACGATTACGAAGGCACTCAGGTACATTAATGCCTGGCTCCGTCCACGTTTTAAGAAAATAGCGCACACGCGAAACATGCGCGATTTTGAGGCGCGTGTTTAGTTAAAAGCATGAAAGAGAAATATGGCTGAAATGATGATTGGATTTTATCAACTATTTTGTACGGATTTTATATGCATATTTATACGATATTACGGTATGTTTTCTTTTTATGGGTTTGAACCTTTGCGTGTGTTTGTAAGGTCGGTACTTTTATTACTAATATACCAAATTATTAGCTAATAATTTTTACTTGTACACATTTTATAATCATGATGCTTGAATATTCTGCAAAAGCTGGCAAATATCAATATAAATATCATAAAATATCATATTCTGGCGTTGTTTATACGAAAGATTAAATATGTAAGAACAAAAGAACTATAACACATAGACACGAGTCACAAGTAAATGCAAAATGGGTAGCGTTTTTACAGCTTTCCAAAGCATTTGTTTTGGCCTTCTAGTGTATTTTGCCAAAGTGCAAGAATAGACTCAATAGAGATAGAAATATACAAAGAGAAGCATTTTTACAGCTTTACATGGAAATTATACTATGCTATATATTATCAAAGATTACAACTTTAATTTAATGCACATAAGTGTTTGATATTGATAAGGTTTGAAGGCTTCAGAGCATCAAATTGAATTAACCATTTTACTCATGCTATCCATACTGTATAAACACAGTTTCTATTGGCCAACCTGCTGACCAAGGACTTGAAGTCTTGACAATGTTAGTTTCAACTATTCACAGTATGAAATCTAGTTTAATTTATTATTTTAATGTTTATTTACATACTATTATATACTGTAACACAGTTTCCACTGGTTGCTGAAAGACTCTAGGTCTTGACAACCTGCTGACTAAAGACTCAAAGTCTTGACAACATAAGTTTTCACTACCCACAGTACGAAATCTAGTTTAATTTATTATTTTAATGTTTAATTACATGCTATTCATACTGTAACACAGTTTCCACTGGTTGCCGAAAGACTCTAGGTCTTGACAACCTGCTGACTAAAGACTCGAAGTCTTGACAACATAAGTTTTCACTACCCACAGTATGAAATCTAGTTTAATTTATTATTTTGATGTTTATTTACATACTATTCATACTGTAACACAGTTTCCACTGGTTGCCGAAAGACTCTAGGTCTTGACAACCTGCTGACTAAAGACTCAAAGTCTTGACAACATAAGTTTTCACTACCCACAGTATGAAATCTAGTTTAATTTATTATTTTAATGTTTATTTACATACTATTCATACTGTAACACAGTTTCCGCTGGTTGCCGAAAGACTCTAGGTCTTGACAACCTGCTGACTAAAGACTCGAAGTCTTGACAACATAAGTTTCACTATGCATAGTATGAAATCTAGTTTAATTTATTATTTTAATGTTTATTTACATACTATTCATGTTGTAACACATTTTTGTATAGAGGCAAAATTACAGAGTGCCCTCGTTACAAGTTCTCCTTCAAGATTTTCAATACTTCTGGCATAGATGGCCTCATTGCTGGCTTGCAATGTTTACATTGCTTTCCTAAGCACTCCATACAGGCATTTGGCAATTTTTTTCCAACACTACATAGAATGACCCCAAGTGAAAAAATGTCACTGGATATACTGACAGGAAAACCTCTTAAAACCTCAGTGGCAATATGATTGTAAAAGGAAGTGTACTTTCGAGCTGTTGGCCTAGAAATTTGGCAAGCTTTTTACCAAAGTCTATCAAAAAACCTTTCTTCCCTGCAACAAGAACATTGTTTGACTTGACATCACAGTGCAAAAACCCTTTGTTATGGACATGAGAAAGAGCCTCTGCAATGTCGAGCAAAATTGAAATCCACTCATTTGTAGTGAGTGTTAATGGTTTTGCCATGGTTTGATTTGCGTGTAACAGCTTATGAATTGTAACAGATTCTGTATCCTCACCAAGAAACTGCATGACTAATGAGAAAGGCTTTTCTTCAATCTGTACTCCCAATAGATATGGAATAGATGCATGAGTGAGTGTATTCATACATTGTACTTCATTCATAACTGCTTGCAAGTCAGATGTTGGCAGTTTTTTTTCAAGAACAGTTACACCGAGCCTCTTAAATTTTTTTAGAACACACTCTCCATAGGTTCCAGAGCCAACAGGGGCGGTAGCCAGTGTATTTTCTGCCAGTGGTAACAAGTCGCTTGGACTAATTTGTTTTACTGAAGCAGCAATCATTTTGGTTGATAAGGTATTGCCAACTGCTGCACCATCCACTGAAATCTACAAACATTAGAAATAGAAGTGAATGTGTAAATAATCAAACAAATAGTAATTGGTGGAGTTGTTAATTATAGAAATTGGGGGGGGGGGCTTAATATAATAAATTTTTCTTTGTTGTAAAGGGTTGAGGGCGCTGCATGGGACTTTTAATAATTCATTTCTTTATTCAAAAATCAAAGATAAAATATATTTTAACCCTTATACATGAAGAAAAATCGTTATACGTACCTTTCTTATGTGGCTTTGTACCGGTATTCTACGCCTTAATTCATCGGCCTTTTTTGAAATATTTTTCCATTTCGTGTAACATTTCTCAGCCAGCGCTTTTTGGTCCTTTACTCCATTTTCTGCGCTATAGCCGCCTCAGCAACCGCGCGTTTGGCCATCGCTCGCTGTTCCCTCTTGCGCTTCTTGCGGCTGTTTTGCATTCGCCTATTCTTTTGCAGTTGGCTTACTTCGTAGCTGGCTTTCCCCATTATGCCGTTAGCAACAAAACCAAAAAAAGCACTCGAATATGTTGTATTATAGAAAAAAACCAAGTAGTTGTGATCACAGTCCCTGAATCAAAATTGATTTTAGCGCCAATTGTTTGATTTTGCGCGAAACAACGAAAATACGCGTTTCAGCAAGGGACTGGTGACGGGAGTGAGAAGTTATTCTATTAAAGTAAATGAATCGTGATGAGATTTAAAATAAACATTTGTGACATTTTTTAAATAAATACTGGTATAGAGTAAGTTTGTTTCACAATAAATTCGTAAATAATGATAAATCTATATTCATTTCATAGATTTCGACAGTCTGATTGGGTGACTATGTTCAATGTCAGACCAGCGTTGTTTCTTAGCAACGACCTTTCTGTTTTTTTATACACAGTGATTTCAGTGGTTTGGCATTGTAAAATATATGAATCGTGCTTTTATAACGAATAATTTTTTATCAACGAGCGTGTATTTTTGTAAAAACATATTTAAAAGAAAAACAAGGAAAGGAGACGGCTGTATTAAGGTGAGAATTCTATCGATTTTTCGTTTACGATTCTTTTATATATTTGGTGGCTCTTAAAAGAGCCGTTTTTTTAACTTTTCAAATTATTTCTTTTCCAGCTGCCACTGATACACCAGGGCTTTGCAGTATTTCATTTTGGCCATTAGCAGTTTGGATGTTGGATCTTTCATCAACTGTTTTGATGTTAGTAGTTTACCAGTTTTCTCGAAGTATTGATGCTCTATTTTCTTTAAATGTTCTTTTATGTTGGTTTGTTGCTGAGATATTTTGGATTCCATGACTGGTAAGATGTCTGTGTATGTGTCTATTAGTGTCGTGTTATTTGGAGAAGCCCTCAATCTTTTTCTTGCTCTGTCAAACTGAATCACCTCATCGGTCAGTCCTAAGATAAAACCCAGCTTTTGGCCTTGGTGTGTTTCTGTTTTTCTCTCTAATAAACAAGAAGAAATATGCTAAGTGCCTAAGCAAAATATGTTCATACATGGACGACAGTGATCTATGTGACAGTCAAATACAAATGTTGGTGAAAGTACCTTTATCTGTATTTGTGGTTTGCATGGTACCAGCTTCAGAATTTGCATTTTCATCGGCTTCCTCCCAAGACAAGCAACATTTTCTTCAGAAACTTCAACTAACCTTACATTACGTCCAACAGTATATAGCTCACCACTTCCATTACAATCATCTGCTTTCTCCCCCTCACCACTAGTTTGAACAATGTCAACACAACCAACTACAACATCGCAACGAGCTGCAGCATCAGAGTGTTCCTCAGCATCACAATCAACCACAGCATCACAACCAACCACAGCATCACAACCAACCACAGCATCACAATCAACCACAACATCACAACTACCTTCAATCTCATCCACAGCACCGACATCTGCACATCCAATTTTCATACTTTCCTCATCCTCCTGATTTGTTGTACACATGACAGTCTCCATATTACCATCAGAATTTTCCACCTGAAGTACTTTTATAGGCATTTTTATTTTTTTCTCCAAGCAGGTTTGCCAATAGCATTTCAAATAAGCCTCTTCTTTCTTGAAGTTGCTGGAGCGAAAATGATGCAAAGTTGGTCCTTTAGGAACTGCTTCAGGATTTCCCTTTGCATAAAAAAACTCAATGTCACCATTGTTGCATGTTCTCCACCAAATTCCTTCACCTGCTAATAAGAAATCACAGATCCTTTCAAGATGAACTTGCCAAGATCTGTAATTCCTTGCTAGCATCTGTTTAGAAATAACAGTGTTTCCAAAATTTGGTAGAGAAGATGCAAGTTTGGAAACATGAGCTTCTTGTGTGTCAGAGGTTAAAGGTTGTTCAGCTTTCAATTTCTTTTCAGCCTGGACTCGGATAAAGACATTACCAATGATGTGGTCAGGATGGTTAGATGATGTCATTCGGGTTATACTGTTAATACTATTAAATACTCTTTCCTGTTCTTCTGTGTTTGTAGATCGGCCACTTATTAATCTGTTCTGGATTGGTGCATGCGCTGTAATGTTGTGGAAGTAGTTACCATAAAACTTCCGAGTTGACATTTGCTTCAGGGAAAATCCGATAACTGACCTGCACAACATTGCATGATGAAAGGTAAGGTTATGGAGTCTCAGAACTGCTCGTGGTGTTCTCTTGGCTTCTGAGTTGTAGGCTATTTCTTGAATTTCTGCAAGGGTGTCAAGCAACGATTGAACCTTTGGATTAACTGAGCCTTGAAGCTGATTGGAAAGAACAATCAAAGCACAGCGGTAATCAAAGGTTCGTTTCGTTTCTTTCCCCCCAATGCTCAATTCAAGAACAGCCTTCAACTTAGAAGCTTCATTGGGTGGCAGATGGTCTGGTAGCTCACAAAATAGATTTTCGATGTGCTTCCCAATGTTGTGGAGGGGTTCAAAACCTAGAATCTCATAACTAGCACAGTTAATTGACCCTAAGGTTTTGTTGGGACTGGTAAATAGTAGGGCTGGCACTCTTTGAACTCCATGCAGTTCATCCCTCAAGAGATCTTCTAGTTCTTTCTTCTTTTTTCCTTCGTAGATTGATCTGGCATTCAACTCCCTGATCAAGTTGGGTTTTGTTAATCCATGGAAAGGTTTATTTGACTTTGCCAAAGAATTTGCTGCACCGCATGGGCCTTTAAACACCAACTGCTGTCGATCCTCCAATGATACGTGTGGGCAACGAAACACATATTCAAGTTCATACACCCGATGAGCATTGGCACCACAGATGGCACAGTAGAAATTTCCACCCTTCTGTTGGCCAGCTTCATATTGACGATAAGGATTGTCACCATGGAAGAACCTCATCTTGTCTGCAACAGGTACACCAGTGGTTGTTGTAATAGGATCTGAGAGTTGTTCTAAACACTAAGTCTGGTCTCTATGTAAGACAATTGATCTTCATCACAGGATGATGACCTTGCAACGATGTACAGACTGGGTGCTTCAACCAATGACTGGATGTTGACCTTTTTTCCAGTGATGGCTTCGTATTCACTGTTGGTATAGAATGTGGCTTGGTCATACAAGCAGGTTGCCATAAAGACAAGGTGGGAATGGTTTGCAACTGTAGATAGGTCATGCCATACGAGTAGATGCGGTGTTCTTTCCATTACCTTCAGCCGCTCTCTCATATCTGTTTCATCCTCACCCTTCTTTTCTCTATTTTAGCATTGTCAACCTGTTCTCAACTTCTGTCACACTCATGCTATTCACATCTTTTTCATCATTAATCCGCATAAATTTCTCCAACTCATGTAGCTTTCTTCTTCTGATCTCAACCAGTGGGCATTTGCGTCCTTCCACAAAAAAGGAAGACTTCTCGATTGAGCCATCCTCTTTGAGCACTAGCTTCTCATACTAAACAAAAATGAAAGATTCTTAAAAGTTTACTTGGTCCGTCTTGTTAACAGTGTATTAACCCACTCATTGCCCCTTAATGGGTTAATCTACAACATTTACTACCTTATTAACATTTACAGTGCTAGCTTTTCTATATATGTCAATATTAGAAGTTAGAATCACAAAAGCTAAAGTGCATTTGATCTTGTCATTAATTGTAATTAATATATAATTGAGATTTAATTACCTTTCTTGGCACTATTAGCTCCCCAACATTTATTTCGCCTGACAAACTTTTTCTTGCAATTTCTTCAGCACTTTACCATTAGTTTCAGGAACAGGAACAGTGATTTCACCACCTGCACCTCTTCTTAACTTTTTTCTTATGTTGCCCTCATTACATTCTTCCTTTCTTTTCCTAAATCTTTCCACATTAACACCTTCTGACTTTAGCCACACCATAGCAATTTGACCACCGTTTTGAGCTATCTCTCCAGCTTTGTTTTTGATTTGAAATTGTCTTGCTAGTTCAGACCAGTTGACCAAAGTGTCATCTCCATAACTGTTTACTTCATCTTATCCCTCCTTATCCCATTCCATGTCAGCAAACTTGCCAACAGGACTTTTCTGTTTCTCTTGCTGTTTCTGCTGCCTTGTGCGTTCTATTGCATCTTCTTTACTTTCAAAACCAATTGTCAACCTTTCCCTTTGTCTTCCTGCTAATGATTCTCGATTTCCAAAGAATCTATTAAATAATATTATATTTTCATACTAATAATATCACCAGCTACTCCGGCTGGATATTTTTACCTTAATTGTAATTTACCCCTGATCACAGACTCAGGGTATATGATATCTCTATATACCCTGGCTGGATATTATAGGATATTTGTGCAGGACTAGTTATCCTGGCTGGGTATGGTATCTCACTACTTATACCCTGGCTGGATATTTTTACCTCACTATAACTACCCCGCTTCTTGGTTGAACACTTTTACCCATGTGAATATTTTTATATCATTACCTTATAAAAGATGTATTTTCCCATTCTTTCTGCACTGCTTCCTTGAATTTTCTGTAATTAGTTCTCCTTGTTTTTCTCTTTTCAGCTTTTGATTTTTTTTCCTGAATGTTCAGATCTTTGACCTTTGTCAGCGCATTTACAAGGGAATGGCCTGTTACTTTTTAAAAGTGGGGTTTACTTGGTCGTACAATGACTTTGCAGTCTCACTCGCTTTACGGAAAGTGGTGGTGTTACATGGTTGGTTACTGGGTAGTTGGATCGCAATAGTCGTGTTTGCAACAACATGAGGATTGTTTTCCTTCATTGAGCCTGTGTATCGATGTGATTTTACCGGGAATAATGCATGAATATGACTGTATTTGAGCTGGCATGGCTTACAATTTTGAAACGTGTGTTCAATCTTCATCGCTTGGGACAGTTCATTCCATGCTTTGATGTTAAATGTTGCAGTGTATTGGTTCCGCTCTGCTATCTCCCTGTGGTTCCACCGACTAAATTTCACGCGTAGGGTTGGGAAATGTTTATCAAAACGTTTCAGGTCAAGGGGGAAGTTTTCCTTGCAACTTTGAAATGTGTTTGAGAAGCAATCATA